TGCACTCGGGAGTATTTGTTGAGGTCGCCCAGTGAACCCGTCGAACCGCAGTAAAAGTCTCTATATTGAATACGTGGCTCAAATTTCAATATAAACCCACAGGACTACTCTGTATTCTTTGACTCACTTTGGACCCCTTTATACATGAACTTATACTGTCATAGCTACCATAACATCAGCTGCAACTCTAAATTCCCACCTTCCGGGGGCCAGGTGAGCACTGGAAATCGTCTTGGTGGAGTTTATGCGCAGGAGGAGAAGGAAATGGTTTATGAAATCGCAGGATTTTTTTTCTGAGAATTCTGTGAAAACAAGATGGTTTTCTGTGTAAAACAAGACATTTTTGGTGGCATTTTCATCAGTATTTTTAATTACAAAAATTGTTTCATCCTTGTTTTCCAAACTTCCTTCAAACTCTGCTTCATAAATTGTCAACAACAGTGTTGAAGAATTTGAAAATTCATAAGTTTATGGAAAAATTTGTGGGAATTATAAATTTCGGTTTAATTATTCCGTAAAAATTAATGAAAAATCAGGGAAATTCTGAGAAACTTCTCCTTGAATTCCATATTTCCCTGTATTTTCCAGGAATTCCTTGAATAATTTCAGGAATTCCATGAATTTTAATGGAATTCCCTGAAAATTCAACGAAATAGGGCAGTGAATATTCATTTTCACTTGAAAAAATTGGAACTTTACTTAAATTTTCAGATAAACTTGAAATTCTATTGAATTTCTCCCCTTAAGTCCAATTCAGTCTTTTCCCGGAAAATTTCCGCTAGAATTTCATGTCAATTCGGTTTCTAGTAAATTTCGGTTTAATTATTCCGGGAAAATTAATGAAAAATCAGAAGAATTCAGCGAAACTTCTCCTTGAATTCCAGATTCCCCTGAATTCTCAAGGAATTTCTTGAAAAATGCCGAGAATCCCACGAATTTTAATGGAATTCCCTGAAAATTCAAGGGAATTTCGCATTCAATATTCATTTTCACTTAAAAATTCCTGTAAATTGCGACTGTACTTGAAATTCCATTGACTTTTTCCCCTTAAATCGAATTTAACTTTTTTTTTCGAAAAATTAAGGCAAATTTTAACAGTGAACAATTGAAATAGTTTACCATGAAATTTATCACACCCCGTAGTGAATATTCCAGTCCTGAATCACCTCGAATTACCGGGATTTAATAGAGCGCAAGGAGCGTAAAGCTCGGAGTAAGAGAACACCAGGGGACCCGGACAGCAAGTAAAGACCAGCACTGGTGCCTGGTGGAGTACGAGGTAGTTCGATTTACGTCCGATTATCAATGGCTCTCGGCCGAGGGGCAATAAAGTGGATCTATCTGGAATTGAACACACCCTTTGAATTCCACCGTGTACTTTTACTCCTGGATTTTTCTCTATTTTTTTTCCTCCCGTTGTTTTTTTTTCCCTCGCGGTTCTTCTTTTTCGCTCTCCCCGGTTACTTCCGATATTCTCCCTAGTGCCATCGCGTCGTTGTTTCCCTTACAAAGAACAAGGAGAGCCGTGATAAGAGACAATAGGGTTCTCCTTTGCCCACTCAATAGGTGTAAGAATCCAAAACAAAGGGGTTGTTAAGAGGAGAGGAGTAATGAAGGTGTGCGATGAGGAAAGAGTACCTTTGGGTGGAGGCACTTGAAAGGTTTTTTCTCTGAGAACAGAACATTGCTGGAATAATTATAGAGGGTTTGATTACAAAGGATGATATTTTACTGGGTGTCAAAGGTTGATGGTTTCACACTTCAGAATTTATCTATTATTTCCGTTTTTTCACGAGATTCACACAATCACTTGTACTGTGATGAATGAAGATGTAGGATCAAACGAAGGTTATGTATTATGAATAATGAGTATTCTGGTAACTAATGTACTATTGCAGTTCTGAGTATTAGAAATGATGTCACAACGATCCAGTTAAATTGGGGGCGAATATTTATTATTACAGGAGATTCAAGTTAACATTTTAACATTTCAATCAATCTGACATTCGTACACACAAGAGTAAACAAACTACAATCGTACAAAAGACTATGCATTCCGTTTCATTCCATTCTCATTCGCAGAGGGGAAATAGTCATTTACTTCATTCCGTAACAGTACTTAATTCAAGTATATTTTCGACTCGAATGGGGGATGGGTTTCAATTCGAGGATAATTATTTCGTATCAGCCTGGGTTGTACCAAGCACTCTCAAGTGCAATATAAGGGTCAGACACTAAGTGTGAGAATATAAGGGTCAAAAAGTGGAGGTTAAAAAATGAGGGTCGGAATATTAGAGTCAAAAACTGAGGGCCTGAATGTAAAAGTGAAGGAATGAGAGTCAAAATGTTAGGGTTACAAAAGAGGGTCAGAATATTAGGATTAAAAAAATGGTCAGAATATAAAAGTAAAACAAGTGGGTGTCAGGCAATGGGGGTCATATAAGGGCTAAAAACGGTGATCAAGCATAATATATAACTTATATTTAGACCCTCATTGCCTGACACCCACTTTTTTCACTTTTATATTCTGACCCTAATATTCTGACCCTCATTTTTTAACCTCCACGTTTTGACCCTTATATTCTGACACTCAGTGTCTGACCCTTATATTACACTTAAGAGGGCTTGCTACAACCCGGCCTGATACAAAAGAATCATCTTCGAATTGAAATACCCATCCCCCAATTGAGTATAAAATATACTTGATTCAAATAATTCAGGTATTTTTTTCCGTACGTGTCAATTCAATAATAAATAAATGAATAAAATTTCCTCTTCCTTCAACTCCTCATTATCCTCTAATATTAATTCAGATCTGCCAACCCCCTTATTTTTTTTATTTGAAAAAAAAAAAAAAAATAACAAAACACGAATGTTACTCCTGTCATACATTGAGGTCACTGTCGGAGGCTAGAAGGAAATTCCAAATAAGAACAAAACAGCTTCCATTTGGAGGGAAAAAAGGAGTAAAATAGCAACAGTCTGAACGAGGGAGATACGGGGAGAGGGACCTGACACGCTTAATGCATCGGGGTGAAAAAGCAAGCGAGAATAAATAGGCCACACCAGAGAACGAGTGGAAGTGTAACGTCGAAAAACCAGCGGGGATCGGGGGAGAGAGTGAGAGACTGGCGAAAAAAGGAGAATGAAGGGTATAAGAGTACCCTGAATTTATTCTCCCGCTGGGGGTAACGCGGTGGTGTTTCAAAACGTACAATGAGTGGAGCTTAAGAACGGAGGAAGTAATTTGTGAAATGTGACGGTAACAGTGGCTGACTGGAGAGCCAGTGAAACTCGAATATTAATTGTTTTGAGAGGTCTGGAACGATGAAATTGTTATTTGATGGGGTTTTTATTAGATAAGGGAGGGCTGAGGTGGGATTACATTCATATCCATGAATGTAATTTTTTCCTCACTTTTGTGGAACGATGAGAGAGGACATTTTTAAATCAAGACTATTGTTCTTTATTCGAATGAGAGAAATTTCAGGAAAGAGAAACAAAGAACTGCGATTGTTGTTTAAATGTCTTTCATTATTATTAGATTAATTAATTAAATCAATTTAATTGCATTGAATTGAATTATTCAGCACTTTCATCAGATTAAAATGACAATTTTCTGTTCCCAGTTCTTCCATCTGCTGCAGAATAACGAAGCAGCGAAGAGTACAATCGAGCATCGAGGCGTGACAGTGTTTGCACCGACGAATCGTGCCTTCCAGAGGTACGCTGTCAGCAAGGACCACGGTGACCTCGTCCTCTACCACATGTGTAAGTACTCAAGTCCATTGAAATAACAGCGAAACAAAATGCTACGCAAAGCTCGTGGCGCTTTAGCCAGGAATCATTTTCGACAATTTACACTCGAGCCAATTGAATGCCCGGGGATCGGTTTCTCAAAGCCCACTCCCACCATTCGCAGTAATCTCCTATCACTGATATGAAGCTGAAACTAGCAGAGTGTTCGTCAGCGGAAAATTCTATTTAGGGGATATTTAAATGTACACGGAGAGAAATTTTTTAGAAAAATTCTAGTGCTAGCAGGGGACAAGAGGCGCAAAGTGGCGGCCAGGGAAAAATTCTAGTACCGGCATTAGAAATTTTATTGGGGAAAACGTGAATTTTTCCCCGTATTTCGTATACACGGAGAAAAATATTTAATTAAAATTATGTATCTTTTTCGTAATTCCGGAGCGAAATGTGGTTGTAGGAAATTTCATGGAACTGTCACGGAATTTTTCCAGAGCGTTCCGTAATTTTTATCTGAATCTCCTGTGAAAAATTACGATACCGTCACTTAAATTTTCTGAGTCGATTCCGTAATCGGTGAGCGAATTGTGAGTTCCTTAATTTTTACTGAATATTTCCGTGTAGGAGAGTCGAATAATCATATGTACAAATGTTTTTTAAGTGCGAAAGAGTTTGTACATTACTTAAAAACATTTGTACACTCCTAGAATCGCCCAAGACAAATTTTCTGCTGTCGAATCTTTCGCTAGTTTCAGCTTCATATCATTGATGAGTATTAGTACAGCGGAGAAAAGCGCGGGGTCGCGCGAGTCCGTCAGAACTCCATCATTCGGTTCTGGGGGTCCGGTAACAGTGATCCTGTGGATTAGCCGGGAATCATTGGTTCATTAGACGAGAGATGAAGTGAATTATCGTTTTGTGGGTTTTGAATTCCTTTCATTTTTAATTCATTCGCGGAAATCATTTGCTCATCATTTCCTCATTTTCTCATCGTTTTTACTGTAATATTCAAGGTGATCTGATCATTTAATTAAATTTCAAGGAATTTTTTCATTGAAAATTCAAAATTTGAGGCGAACCAGTTTTTTTTATTCAAAATTTTACGTCCAAATCTATGAGAACTATAAATTTCAGTTCAATTATTCAATGAAAATTAGTGGATGTGAGGAAAATCTGACAGAATCCATTCTTGAAATTTCCAGTAAAACTAGAAATTTGAAATGATTACCAACATCGCACGTCAAACATGAAATTCTAACCCTTATCTCTCGTCTCCAGCCCCTGAAATTTTCCCTTTCCACCGCGAAATACTTCCCTCGAATTTCTTCAGGTGCATTTTTTCCCATTAAAAAAGCCCCCTGTCCCGTAAGAAGTAAGAAGTGAGCCCTCGAGAAGTTGGAATATAAGGAAAGAAGTGAAGTAGAATGGAAAAGCGAATTGAATTTCTCAGTGGGACACGGAGAAATGAAAAAAAACGGAGGGAGAAGGACTCTCGAGCTGTCTGGGAGTAAGAGTCCGGCGTTGTGAGCGAGTTCTGATGAATGGAGGTAGTGATAAGGCCTCCAGCCATTCGTGCACTGTCATCTCCCGCCAGAGTTGTCCCGATGTACTGCGTCGACTGTTTGTGATTGTTGATTCGTAATTCAAAGAAGTATTACATCCATTGAATTCTTTATCGATGGGAAAAGACGTTTCCGCTCAGCCTGGGCATTTGAATATGGGTGAATGGAGGTTTTCAGGATGTTAGTGGTGCGCTTATTCAGTCGTTGTTTACTCAGACTTGTGGCGAGACTTTTTAACCTCATGAAACTGATTCTCATCACCCAATTAATTTTATTTCGTTTGTTCATTAACTAGCGTTGACGCCCTTTTTCTTTCAGATTCAGTATTCTTGAATCTTTTTTCAATTCGATGTGTATAATCATTCTCATTGCAAAAAGCTATACCACAGATGAGAATCTAGTATGAAGTTGAATTATTCTATTTTCCTCTGGCCTAAATGATTTGTACAATTATGATTTCAGTAGTGAAGTGGTAAACGGAGATAAGCGAACTTATCTCCCAGTTGAGTTTTTGAGGAATATTTCGGAATCTAAGGGTGATAGCAAAATTTTTGTTATAACCTTTTTTATCTCCCTTAGATTCTGAGATATTGATTGAAAACTGGTCAATAGTCACAATTGACTTATCTCCGTTTACCACTTCGCTACTGATTTGTTTATTCATGAGTTTATTCATGAGAAAGACATTAATTTTGCCAGTGTCTAGCCTGTTAATTTTATAAACAAATGAATTGACGAAGAAAATTCGTAAAAGTAAAATTTCCGAGGGGCTATTCACAGGCGTAATCGGGGCGTCATTCGCTGATGTAATCAATTGTTGGATGGCAATCCCAGTGAAATCAATGTAATCATTGTAATCACATGATTACCATATTTGTAATCAAGTTTTGGTAATCAAGTGGTAATCATTTGTAATCACTCTAATCATTTGTAATCAGTGTAATCTTTCGCAGTTGCTCCTAGTGAGACCGTGAATTCTGTTTTTGAATTTTCGAGCGCGTTATTTCTACCAATNCTGTTTTTGAATTTTAGAGCGCGTTATTTCTACCAATGGTAAATCTCAGAGATCCCTGGATCAATTTTTCTTGGAATCCCAGATGTTTATGGTTCATAGCCAATGCGTTTTGCCCAGTGCATTTGTCCGTAGGAAATTGATTCAACAGAGTTAAAATTTCTTCTTATTCTGGAGAACCAACCACTGAATTATCTCTAAATTATCTGCTGATAAGTTTCATTCTCCATCAATGGTAAATATTCAGTAAATTTACTTTGATGATAGCACTTATAAATGCCCGAATTTTTAGATGGAGTGATGGAGACTGCATTCCTCAGTTCTAATCCCCGCCCCTCCTTCCTCATTTCTTTGCAGATTCTAATAATTAATTATTCCATCAATTTATATTTATTAAGAAGCTATTTTTTGGGATTTCAATGATTACAGATGTTTGGTAATCGCAGAATGTTATCGACGAAATCATTTGTAATCATGTAATCATATTCTGTGCTCTTGATAATCACGGTTATCACATAGGCAATGGTAATCAGTGTAATCAGTCCCGTAATCCCGGGTAATCGATTACATTTTGTAATCGCGGTGTCACCCAATTCGCCTGTGAATAGCCCCTCGAAAAATTCACAATTGTCAATTTCTCGATGATTGGCCCCATGAGAATCTTTGCGTTACGAATCTCGAATAAACTCCTTCACTCTCAAATCCAGTGAAGACCAAAAATGATAAATTGAACGACCCAATTCAGGCTCAACCACCGCTGAGGTGGCCGCAAAACAACGACGCTCAAGCTGCGAAATTATGAAAGTTTCCAGACTAATTGTGAAACTTTGGTTGGAGCGATGCACAAAATTGCTCTGTCAGAGAGGAGAATGAGGAAGAAACCGAAAATGAGGGGTATAAAACTCACCCGAAGCTCAACTTAAATATGGACAGTTATTCCATAACCAATGGGAAGTAAACATCCCCCGAAATAAAGAGTTTCGTCTTAATGATCATCACAAGTTTGTATGACCGACGAGGATCTCAAAGCTTCGAGTCTTCGGGCACATAGGCTTCCCGGAACTTGAGAAATTTCCACTCAACTATTTTCTCATCACGCTGGGGAAACTTTGCTGGCATCGACGATCAACTTAATCGACACTTGTGTTGGGAGAATAAATATAGTGCTTCACACTTTCTTGGGGGGAAATTGAGGCAATATTTTGCGAGGGGTTGATGGTGTTGGGGGAGTATATTAAGCATATCCACGTATCTTTTACAATTTGGTGCAGACCACACTGTAGATTTAACCATTTTCAATCATCAAATTTTTCAATTAAATTACGCAGAATTATTATCTTTTTCAAAGAATTGTTATTTATAAATAAATAGTTGAAATTGAAACAAATAATTGAAATAATTGAATAAAATGAAATCAGTAGTGAAGTGGTAAACGGAGATAAGTCGACATGTCTCCCAGTGGAGTTTTTGAGGAATATTTCCGAATCTAAGAAAGATAGCGAAATTTTCGTAATTACATTTATTGTAGTACTCAATCGACTCCACAAAAAATGTTATAACAACAATTTTGCTATTTCCCTTAGATTCCGAGATGGTGATTGAAAACTGGTCAATTGTCAAAATTGACTTGTCTCCCTTTACCACTTCGCCACTGAAATAAATAAAATTGAATGATAATTGACAAAAATAAGAAGATAGAGAAAATAGCAAAAGTACTTGGATATTCTTAAAGCAAACATTTAAAAAATTCTCGACAATTTCATTGCCTTTGTCGAAAATAAACGCAAATGACCCTCTCACCCCCGTCTCCATCGACATTCCCAGTACAATTGACACAACCGATCGACTCCATCCCCAGATGCAAGTGATCCTCTCCTATATTTCCACTCTGAGTCCAACGAGTATGCAACGGACCGTCGAATTTTTCCTCCCTCTGAGGAGTTTCAGGTGGTAACGCGAAATTGAGGCGCCGAGAGTGGGGCCTCTCTCGTCTCCGAGATTGATTTCCACATCGTTCGTCTAGTTGAAAAGGACGACCACTTGAGATACCCCTGGAGTGAAAGAAATAAGACGAATGATAGTTTGGAGAGGATTTGCGAATAACGTGAGACGGAGAGAAGGGGGTGGGAGGAAGGGAAGGGGGGGGCGGCGGGACAGGCAAAACCCAGGGAAATGGGAACAAGGTGACAACCCAGAGGAAGACTCACCGGCACATCCCGTGGGAAATGTCTGTACTGCGATGGTTTGTCCCTTTCCTCTTCGCATCTCATCCAGACGAGGCTCCAACTGGTTGAAATTCCTCCCTCCAAGTGATGGTCCCCCAGTGCCTACGTGTTACGTGTAAATGTCCCCCCGGATTTTATCTGGGCAATATACCAATTATCAATTATCTGACAGCGGTGGATTTTACGTGACGCAGAGGGAAAATTTTCTCAGGTGGAAAATCG